GACTGTGCAGTCGTAGCGCAGAGAAAGCTTGTTGACTCGAGAGACGAATACGTAGAGAGAGTCGACGCGCCACAGCATTGCCACGTTGAGTGGATAGGGTCCTGGTGCGAATGCAAAGTACATCACTCCGCTTGGAATGTCTATTTCGTCGCGCTCCTGCGGCTGGGAAGTACGCTCAGCATAGGGATGGAGGTGAGGTGATGGCAAAGTGCGTAATTACTACACCCGTTGTCGGGAGGGCACTTTTGGGTTGCCCGCAACTCCACAACCACACCAAGCTTTTATTCGTTCAGTATTAGTTCAGTGTTTTTAGACTTGCTTGGGTAGAGAAACACGCCCAAGTAGGCGTTGTTCGTTGGATTTTCCCGTTTGAGACAACTGACAACATTCTATTCTGGGCTGCACAAGACTGGCAGCCGACGCCACTTCAAATGAAGACCGCATCCACGCCCTCCCTTCGCATGATTCATAGCATTTACACTGCGAAGCATAATCATAGTTCCACCCATGAATCTCACAAAATCCCGTCTTACACGACGTTTTCAAAAATGCCCCCATACAAAAATGTGGTAATTACCAATACCAATTCGCAACACCAAACTCTAGCTTGAAAAAACAATTTTTTTCAATTTCAAAAATGGTCGTTCTGACAACGCAGCAAAAATATAGTTCCACCGAACAAATCGAATATTCCAACAACAAATGTACAATAAAATGAATAAATTTTGATCCAGTAATCTATTGGAACTCTATTTCTCCAATTAAGTTGGAAAATACGGTTGCCCATGTTCGATTAGAGATTTTAATAGGCTTTCGGCCGACTGCCCCAATGATTAACTCCCTAAGCTCACGGACATTGTGGAATTGTGCATTACTCTCATGGATCATACGCACCATGAAGCCCCTCACATCCTCGATTGGGTTTTAGTCGGGGCTACTCGCTGGCCAGGGCAAAAGAGCGGTTTGGTGACGACTGAACCACGCTCGAGTGCTTCGACTGTCATGAACTGGTGCATTATCCTTGCATGAAAACGGGACTTTCTTGCTGATTTCTACGCCAGAAAGCAAGGAGACGTCGTCGCATGACTTTTAGATGACGGAAGAAATCATTTCTTTTTTATACGGAGCGCAGTAGACCACATCCACTGAAGTTCCGCCCGGAAAAATGAAACTTGTCTTTCCTCAGGTCGTGCCAGCGGAATCGGTTTTCGTCGGAGCCGTCGCAGTTGAATTTTTTCTCATCAGAAAACACGACCGCGAGAAAAAAACTGAAAAACAACACAGACAAGCAGCACCGCAGCCAAAAGCAACCTCACTCCATTGGGTTCGGCAACATCTTCGAGCAAAGCCAATTAGGTTTTCGCGATGGTTTTTCGTTAGAAACAGTACGTAACTCATATTCCCCTATGGGTGAACTCGGGAGTTTTTCAAGAGACGCCGCAACAGTATCTTAACCTCCGAAGATGATTTCCCGACACGACACTGCAGAGTTGGATGCTTTCCTAAGGATACGGCGGTTATTCCGATCGGGCAGCAAAGGAGGATGTCCAGAGCTCTTCTCAGCTCAATATCCTGTAGGTCCCTTGGAAAAAATTGTTGATAGCATGATGAGTGCGGCCCGCATCCCGCGCCATTCGACGATTCACCAGTTTTTGAGTCTTCTTTGCGATAATCTGTCCTTTTTCGAGGTCCATTAATGAAGTTCCACTTGCCATAGCCTAGAAGAGGCAAGAAGTCATAATGATGAGAAGTTTCACCGAACAAAAATGAGATGCAGCCGGAAAATGCGGTGGAACTATACTTTTGCTGCGTTGTCAGAACGACCATTTTCCATTTTTGAAAAAATTGACGAAAAAAAATGTTTTTTCAAGCTAGAGTTTGGTGTTGGCATGCGAATTGGTATTGGTAATTACCACATTTTCTGTATGGGGGCATTTTTGAAAACGTCGTGTAAGACGGGATTTTGTGAGATTCATGGGTGGAACTATGATTATGCTTCGCAGTGTATAACACAATCCTTCTAGATGTTTATTCGTGCCGCAGCACAACTGCATTTTGCTAATGATCATCCAAAGTTTGTTACTAATGCGGAGGGAATTTCATCCGAGTTCCCTGTGAATGTTTGCTCGGGCACAGGAAACTGCAATTCGTTCACACTACTGCCACTGACCATGGTCTAGAAGATTTCTATTGTTTTTGAGTTTTCCTTACTACTTATTGATATTCAGCGCAGTCCCCTTGGTGGACAGCTGACGTACGGACACCTTATCTAACTTGGTTACGAAGCCCTTGATGCGAGACGATCGCTAAACTTCTGTGACCACAAACAGGTGCCGCAACGGTCAGTATTATTTCGCGAAGCTCGACAGAGAGTTCACAGGTTTCAGCACCACAAGAGTGAACGCACTGTTGGGTAACCAGGATTCCAAACTAACACACGCAATAACGGAGCGTGAAATGCCCGTCTCCAGATCCGATAACAGCGCCAAGATTCTCGCTACAATAAACTAATGGTTCTCCCAGGGTTGCAGCCGATCACAAAGTTGGAGGCCTCTCTTCGATTACGAGTCCATTCGAATGTATTGCGATCTTTCACTAACAATTAACGATACGGAAGCAAGTGTGAATATACTGTCTACGAAGAGCGCTTTCTCGGCGCACGGCCCAATCGTACGTCTCGTTGATTGAACCTTCGCTTCCGAATTTTAGACTGTTTTTGTTTGATAACTGCTGTTTTACGCCGCAGTGCGCGATACGAAAGTTATCACAAGAATGCTGAGTTGTGGGCAAAAGTCGGACCACGGGCGGGACTCGAACCCGCATCTTCTGCTTACCGGGCAGTTGCGTTACCACTTACGCTACCGGGGCCACTTTTGACCTCTCACCAGGAAAGGTCAACAGGTCAGCCCGGCCATTTCCAATGAGCTGCACACCATTGTACGCGTCTTGGGAAGGTGAACACAGAACTGTCTTCAAAATTTGCAGAACGATTCTCTGAACGGAGTTATGAAGGGTTTTATCCCCGCATGGTCGTTTCACGTGCTGTCGCGAGGAAACGTTGAAGCGTCTTTACATTTACGTATGGAATCGTTCTGAAACGTGGCAGCAGAGCGCAACGGATAGGGAGCGGGCTTTCTTCTAGGCGGGGAGCGTCACTAGGACTCGGTTCCTGGCGACGGGTATCATTGTTCTTTGGCGTTTGTCGGCAAGACATAGCCCGACATAAGCTTCTATAACATCTCTGCTCGCCGCTGCACTACCACTATAAGGGAACGCTGCAATCAGTTGTTTTGTTCAAACAGTGTAGACCGTGTAGACGCCATTTGTGACCTAAAGAGTTCTTCCGCTTCGTACAGGGACCCTCGCGTCCGTCGACACAGTGTCAGACGCACGAGTCTTTTAATAAATATATAATTATATAGTTATCGAGTATTAAGAGTCGAAGATTGTTCATTCATGGTTCAGTTCCGGGATGGCCGGCAAGAACGTGGATAATTGGCTTGCGCGATGGGGGAGCCGGTAAAGGTAGTCGAGATTATATCAGCGCTGGGACACAGTTGCTCTGGCCGCACTTCTGATTTCTCGACCCTTCACTTCGGAAAGTGTCGGGGCTATCCGGCATTGGGCTAACATTATCAGGCAAGACTTGGAGCTCACGCTACACATCGATGACTGTGGTGCTCGAATGGGATTTCCTCCGATAGATGAAGGACAAATCATGCACATCGCACTACCACCTTAGAAGAACACCGAAGTCTACGTCGGTAGGCTCTGTGTACTCACTAGCAGCAGATGGAGAAGCAGATTTACTCCATAACGTCCCGACGTCGGCTAAAAACAACACAAAACAGCCGCAACCACAGGAGCCACACACCACGTACCCCACCACTACAACCCGCATGAAATGAAACCACACAATACACCTACCGAATAAAAACAAACAAGTAAGCCAGGTACTGTTGTTTGCAAAAAGACATGACTGAAGAGTTATTTCAGTTCGATGACCAGTCATCACCAGTATGCTAGTCATAGTATCGATGTTAGCTATCAGTTAGCCATGACTATCCATACCCCATTTTTTACGAAGTTGAGTCAGAAGCTCAGATTTTCGCTAAGGTGACGTCCCTAGGGGTTATTTGACCCCCTGAACACGAATATGATACCTATTTTGCGCGAAGAGCGCTGTGAGTCGCGCTACCGGTGCCAACGCTTCGGTGCCAGCGCGCCCGTAAGAAGAAAAACAGTAAAGAAAAACTCAATAACTCCGCTCAGAGAATCGTTCTGCAAATTCTGAAGGCAGTTCTGAGTTCAGCGTGTAAAGATGAGTACAGTGATGTGCATCTCATTGCAAATGGCCAGGCTGACCTGTTGACCTTTCTGGTCAGCTCAATGGCTATTTGTGCCATTGCCTTCGAGCACTCACGATGTCGTTCAACGTGATGAGCCGGTTAGCCGATATCGGCAGTGAACCGCAAGGCTGAAGGCTTTTTACAAGTTTTAGACTGTTTTTGTTTGATAACTGCTGTTTTACGCCGCAGTGCGCGATACGAAAGTTATCACAAGAATGCTGAGTTGTGGGCAAAAGTCGGACCACGGGCGGGACTCGAACCCGCATCTTCTGCTTTACCGGGGCAGTTTCGTTCACCTTCAGCCTTGCGGTTCACTGCCGATATCGGCTAACCGGCTCATCACGTTGAACGTGTGAGTGCTCGAAGGCAATGGCACAAATAGCCATTGAGCTGAGAGGTCAAAAGTGGCCCCGGTAGCGTAAGTGGTAACGCAACTGCCCGGTAAGCAGAAGATGCGGGTTCGAGTCCCGCCCGTGGTCCGACTTTTGCCCACAACTCAGCATTCTTGTGATAACTTCCTCCGAATGTTTACGTGTTGATTTGGCAAAATATTTGGAGATATATTGGTTGATTGATTGAATTCCTTCATAAGGGCTGTATGCATGCGTTATTGAACGACAAGAAGCCGGATATGTTCGCTTGAGTTGTTTAATGGCAACGCGCAATGGAACTCAAAATACACGAAATGGTTTGGGCGATTCTCATGTGAGTTTTCAGGTTTGAATACCTCCTGTTCTGCAATGTAAACATGTCCAAATTCAGATTCCGGATGCTACTACGAGCACCACCTTCCATATGGCTATGCGTGTTCTTGAGTCGGAGGTATTTTCTGTTTCTTTCTATTTACTTTAAGTGTTTCAAATTGTGGTCAGTAAGGCGCTGTTCGACCCTGGCGGGGCATCTTGCACTTGCCTAGTTCCTTTTGTCTGTCCATATTGACCTGTTTACAGGTCCCGCTTTGTTCAGATCTGTGAACTTTTGGAAGCTGCGGAATCGTTTGAGTGAGACACCTTGGATACAAGAATTTGCAGGTGCTGCACCCAGGCTGCTTGGCACGAAGCTTAGCGAGTCGCATACTTTGCCCCTACCGAGCCGAACTGTGCCGTTGATAGTTCATGAGTTATCGTTATGTTCTTAGGTGCAACTATCGGATGTGGATCACAAGTCTGCTGTTATATCAGTACAGGCACCATCATATCAGCTACGACAGGTGAGTATTGGAAAATACCAGTTGTAAGCTTAGTTTATCTCGAATTTTTATGAACGCTACTTACGTAAGGTTTTTTTCCAAGAAGAGAACCCTTATGGGGGGAGGAGCAGAGGAGGTAGGAGGAGACGACGAGGTGCAGCGTCCAATATGTTTGCGCTCCTTCCAGACTTCTGTAAGAATCGAGCAGTATCAGTGGGAGGGGGGCACAAATGAGCAGAATGAGCGCGGCGCCGCGTGCCTTCTAGAATGATTCGAAAATAAAAAAGAAAAAAAGCCATTCAATCGTGTCCTTACAGGTGACCATCTCTGGATGTCCTGGCGACATTGTTACTGTATCGGAGACACGCCAGCCAGCTGGTGCAAACGCAGCTGCCAATAAATTCTTCCTCGTCAAGGTTTGTGCTGTCATAAAAGATATTTTTAGAAATTGTCTGGTAGCAGCGCTGGGCTTGAAGCGGGCACGGTGCTCAGCGGACCCTCTACAGAGCACCCAGTGAAGACCAGTTAATCCCAGTAACCCAAGTGGCTCGCTTGTTCCATTTTGCAGCTTCCAGGGTTGAAGATCCGCACAAAATATAAGACTTTGCTTAGTTAAAGCTGGATCAGCAAATGGTTTAAGTGAGAGTGCAATGCCGCCTCCCAGCCGAGCAATCGTAAGCTCTGCACCGTGCTAACTATCATCATCATATCAACGTGGCCTGGGCCTGGAATACATCCTGGGTAAGTGATATCCACGGAAGAAAGTAACAGTAGCCCTCTAATGGTAAGTGGGTGTGTTGTCCATGAAAGGATTTAAGTTTCCGATTATTTTCAGTTGAACATCAAGTCAGCTGCGTTGTGGTCAGATCTGTCCGAGAAATGTTCGGTAACGATTGAGAATGGCGTGACAGGACAAACCGTCCACATTCCTGTTCGAATTCGAATAGTTGGTCAAGCAGCTAAACAGGTCTACAATGGTGAGTGCTTCCTTACGTCCACTTCTTTAGTCCGCTTCGCCTTATATCGGTTAGCCGAGAAGGCAGTTGTGCTACTGGAATTGAAATGGGACGAGGCGGCGCGACTAAGTCTGTTCGTCCTACGCTCTCGCCATCAAACAGCGATTCACATGGGAACTCGCCTCCATCCAGCTCCAGCTGCAGCCGCGGAAGTACGTAGAAATCAAAGCAGTCTATTACTTTTCTCTAATACCTAACTGTTTTTCAGCATTGGACAGCGCAGGTTTCCTCGATTTTCTTTTGATATTCCTCCAACACTACTCGTGGATAATCCCCTCATTAATGTGGATTTGTGCTCTGGGAGTGATTACCATCGCTGGTGAGTCTTTTTTGTATTCCATAAAGCGTTAGTTCATCATCTTTTTGCGGTTATTGGTCGACAGTTTTTTATTGTTTTCAGTGTATTGGTTCATTCGGAGACGAGTATGGGAGAAAGAAGGTACCTTCAACGATAACAGCACTTTACGTTCACCATCGTCGTCGATGTTGAGCCGCCCCTCTATATCTGTACAAAGCTCACCAAGTGCGTTCATAATCTCTTGTTGTACGATTGCTTATAAATATGAAGCTATTAGGTCGTTGCAAAAGAAATGCAGGATTTTGCTTGCTTGTATTTCATACTTATTTTATTCCAATAATATGTTACTTTAATATGAAGTGTTATATACTATTCGGAAGCTCATCTCATGCTCTTTCTAAATGATACTCCAAGATTGGTTGTAATTCATTTTATTATAATTTTTATTGACATTTTATTGCAGATGTCGAAACGTGAATTTCGCACTATTTTCTTCTATGAGTTCAAGCTAGGGACGAAACCTGCCGGATGGCAGCTCGGCAACACATCAACGAAGTTTGGGGTCAGGAAGTATCAACGAATCTACGGTCCAACGTTGGTTCCAGAAGTTTCGCTGTGGCAACACCAGCCTTGAAGATGAACTTCATGTTTGGTGGTCTGCCGCCGGTCTCATCCATCACAGCTTCCTGAATCCTGGTGAAACAATTACGGCAGAGAAGTACTGTCAACAAATCGACGAAATGCATCAGAAGCCTTAACGCATGTGCCCAAGGTTGGTCAATATGAAGGGACTCCACGATTCCGGACTCTTCTCCACGGCAATGCCCGACCACACTTTGCACAATTACCCTCCAGAAAATAAACGGATTGGGCTATGAAACTCTGCCTCATCCACCATACTCACCAGACTGTTTGGCCCACCGATGCACACCACTTTTTCAAGCATCTGGACAACTATCTTAGAGAGAAAGGCTTCAAAACCAAGACGATGTCAAAAACGCCTTCAACGATTTTGTGGCCTCTAAAAAGAATTACAACCAATCTTGAAGTATCATTTAGAAAGAGCATTAGATAAGCTTTCGAATGATATATAACACTTACATTTTATTGGAATAAAATAAGTATTAAATACAAAAAAACGAAATCCTGCATTTCTTTTGCAACGACCTAATACTTCGGCGACTGTAACGGGGGCGGGGACGCGCGCCTGGGGTGGGGGCTACCCTTCGTCACAGGCATTTGCCGCCATTTCCGTGCACGTGAACTGCAATACTACACTACTGCAATATAGCAACAGTCGGAGGTACTACTGCAATATAGCAACAGTCGGAGGACCGCGGACGTTATACGAGGGAAGACGTCTACCTGTTAGGTATAGTCCTGCTCGCTGCGGATAATTGAGCGTGTCAGGCTGGATGGGTTTGGCGCGGAGCCAAGCCCGTTCTCCACCAGTGAGCGATAACAGCTGCTGAAAAACGGCCGATACGAGCGATATCACAGTGTTGTCGCTTGCTCGCTTCAATAACTGGTGGAAAACGAGTTTGGCGTTGCGCCAAACTTGTGACACGCGCGTTCATCCACAGGGAACGAGACTGTAGCGGTGCACTGTGCCATTAAGAACTGATTTTCCTGAGCAGCTGAAATGGGATGGCGAATTTCCTGCAATGTCCGAAATATTAAAAGAGGATCCTAAACAGGGCATGTAATACGTAGGGGACCCATAGCGGGAGTTGTATTTTGGCTGTAGGGAGGGAAGGGTCGTAACTGTCTCAGAGAAAAATGATTTTTGGTTGTTGTCCTTCCTTCCCCTTCCCTCGACAGCAGGACAGCAACTTTTCTTGCCAAAAAATGGTGGGAAGATTAGAAAAATGGGGAATCTGTGATGATGGTAGTGATGGCAGAGGTACGTGAAGGGATGCTACCAGAAGATGTCTCGAGAAGGAGGGGGTGGGGGTGTATTTGCTAACTTTCCTCAAACGGGAGGACTTGCTCTGAATCTAAGGTCGCTTGTTTTCGCCCTTGAAAAGCAACTTCAGAATGCACCGTTGCATTTTTTTGCGCTACAGTTCAACATCTCATCACTCTTATATTTTCTAGTTGAAGGCATGAAGCACGATAGTTTGGTACTCGGTCAAGGATGGTCCAGGGGTGCTAAGTAGTGGGGAAAATAGCGGAAAAGCGAATTGGAAAGATCAAATGCCTGCGAAAAAAGAAGTTGTTCTACACGGACGGTAATTCTGGACGAGTTTCCCGTTGGCATTGTGCCCATAACTGCTACGGTAGATACGGCTGCATGTATGATCATGTATTCATGCAGCATCGTAGTCGCTTCATATCGTACCTAGCAAATGAAGCGGTACGAGCATCTGCTCGTGCGTTTGTGGGCGGGCGGGCGCGGTGGGCGTCCCGGTCGTTGTGTTGCCGCATATTTCATAGGCGGATCTGTAGAGTACCTCCCTTGTAGAAGGCACGACGCAACGCCTGTTGAGGGGCGTCGAAGTTTGTCCTGCTTGGCGTAGTATCCTACCCGTCTACAGGTCTTGGGGATTTATCGTGCTTTTTGCGTTAGTATAGTACGTCCACGTTTATTTCAGGCTTTTTCCGGCAATCGCCGCTCGGGAAATCGACACCGATCTTTGGAGACTCGATGGGGAGTGGTATGAAGGCTCGTCCATTAGGTGCAAAAGGAGAAGCAAACCTGTGGAGTACGGAGGCGACAAGGAGGAAATGAGGCACTGTTATGATTGAAAACGGGTCCTCAGCCTTTCATCGGCCAACGATCCGATCAAATTGGTAGTTTCTCATAGCCCCTTTGTTCGCCCCTCGAAGATTTATCGCGCTAAGACGTGTTCTTTAAGGAATCGATTCATTATCGGCTCACCATCAATAGAAGTTGTTATTGCTCCCCGATTCCTCTGTGTACGTCTTTATTTGTTGTTTTGGTACATTCTCACGGAACTTTCGTATCAGTTTCCAGTTGTCCTAACGCTGCTCATCTTGTATTTTGTTTATTGTTTTTGTTATTGGAAAGTAAAGGCACAATTTTTGTATGTTTTCCTCAATGATCCAAGTTCTTTATGGGCTTGATACTTCACAAATTCCCACTCGCCTCGGTTTAGGTTTTTACCCTTCTTAGTTAATATCACGAAGATTAGAGATCTTTCATCACCAGAGCGATTCTTTAGTTTTTCTATGTATCAGTTTGTAATGGGCAAGTTAAATCTTGCAGTTTTCTGCCTCACTAGTTGTTTTTTTGTAAATGAAGTATGAAAAATAAAGGTTGTTGTTGAATACTGAGTGGAAGTGCAAAAAAGACTGTGCGTAATAATGGGATGGCGAAAAGAGCGTGAGCAGTAGCGACGCCGTTCGGGCTAGCAGGGGCATTTTGCACTTCCCTTCGTTTCTTCTGTAGTTCTAGTTAAACAAGTCTCGCCAGGTAAGAACTGTAAATCTTGTCAAAGTTCAGGTTCAGTCCAAAGTTCTAAGATTTTTATTTACTGGTACGACCCCCCCCACCTTCCCATCCTCCAACCTACTTGTCATCTTCCTAAATTCCTTCTACCACTTTTGAGTAGCTTTCTTCAGATATTCTCCATCCCATCCCCCCTCCTACCCCCACCTGCCTAAAAAAAACTGCCGCCAAGCAGTGGGTCAGGGAAAGTAAACCAAAAACATTCCTATCAAAAGCAATTGCGACTCCCTCCCTTGGGCGACTAAATACGACCACCTTGCTAGGGATCCCTACGTACGGCACGATGGAATCCAATACAGGGCACTGTATTGCATAGCTTCAAGGGACCTTACACGTCTTCAGAGAAGGCATTAGCAGTGATCGATGGTGACCGGTAAAATGACCCTACCAAGCCAATTTGCGAGCTGGTGACAACAGTATGAGCACGGCACGCCCCATGTACACCATCTCAGGGACGTAGGGTCCTTGGCTGCGTACTTCATTTAAACAATGCAGGAGCAACGCGTCCCACGCCATATTCAAGTACTAGACCACCACGTCGCTGGGGTGAGCAGAGTACGTCGAGGATTCCCGAGGAGGTCGTATTTTGTGAAGTGGTTCGTCTTCCCGGAACTCCGTTGTAAACGAGTTTTCCTCCAATACGACCCCTTCGCTCACATTCTCCAGTACGACCCTTTAAATTCTTCTCCATCACGATCCAAAGGTGGAAGGTTGCGAGCAGGTCTCTTCACGTCGCTGGGGAGTTCTGCAAAACACGACTCCTCCCTCCCAAATTCCTTCCTCTAGTGGTACCCCTCCTCCTTGCCATGCTACTTGCCATTCTTGACATCTTCCCACTTTTGCTATCTTCCGTTTAGCTTTCGCCACCAAACA